ACATCCTCATCGCTGTGGGTGCTGTGATGATGTTTGTTGGCTTCCTGGGCTGCTATGGGGCTATCCAGGAGTCCCAGTGTCTGCTGGGGACGGTAAGACCGGGCCTGGCCTATGCCTGGCCAGGGGTTGGGGGGCTTACATGCAGGGCTGAGGAACTGGGCAGGCAGCAGAGCTGGTATGGGGGGCAGAACCAGGAGCTCCAGGGGAGCTTAGGCTACCTCCCCTACCCAGCTGGCCCAGGACCAGCACTCATGGGGTGACCTCTGCCTCTTCCCTGGAGTTTCAGCACTCTGGTTTTACCATTTAGATTGTAAATTAAATCCCACTGTGGTTGATCTCTATTGTGTCTACTCTTTCTTTGTTGAAAAAGCCACCAATGTATCAGGAAGCTTCCTAGGCCTGTGCCAGCCCTAGTGTCCTGCACACACCACTGCTGACAGGAGCTTAGACCTGGCTGTTTCATCTGGGGCCTGGCTGGTCCAGGAAGGGGGAGCCTGTGCCATTGTCTCCAGTGGGAAGAACTGAGGCACACCCCAGGACCACCTTCCTGTAGGGTATAGGAGAAAGGTGGGGAAGTTCAACCCCACACTGCCTATCCTGGCCGGGTCTGCCTGCAGCCTGACCCTGCTCTCCCCTGCCCCACCCCTATTCTCTGCCCCAGTTCTTCACCTGCCTAGTGATCCTATTTGCCTGTGAAGTGGCCGCCGGCATCTGGGGCTTCGTCAACAAGGACCAGGTGAGCCTGGACCACTGCTAAGCATGGAGCAGAGGGAGTAGCCCCTCTGCTTTGTTGTGGGTAACAGTCTCGTCTCACCTATGATCTGTGGGGTGTTCTCTGGGCTCTTCCTGGGCCCACCTGGGAGGAAGATGTGGAGGGACTCTATTAGGAGGGACATTGGGATTTATCCCGGGGGGTGGCAGGGAGGGCATGTCATTCCTGGGGGATGGTCCCTAGTGTGCACGTGACTGTGCTCCCCACAGATCGCCAAGGACGTTAAGCAGTTCTATGACCAGGCCCTGCAGCAAGCCGTGGTGGATGATGATGCCAACAATGCCAAGGCTGTGGTGAAGACTTTCCATGAGACGGTATGGCCAGACGGGGATAGGCAGGGCACACAGAGCCCAGGGCACCCCAGGAGTCCTGCTTCAGCCGAGACCTGGAACAGGCAGTGCCCTGGGGACCTCTCAGCTCCACTGGTCCCTGGGTAGGAGCCTGGTGGGCTATGCTGACTAAAGGTGCAGGGACCCGGGACGTGTTCGTGGTGGGGTGTGATGTGTGTCCCTGGCTGTCTCCCTTCGGGTGCCCTGGAGCTCTGCCACTGTCTCGCCGCACATGCCTAGAGCTGACTGTGCACCCTCGGTCTCTGCAGCTTAACTGCTGTGGCTCTAACACGCTATCAACACTGACCACCTCGGTGCTGAAAAACAACTTGTGTCCTTCGGGAAGCAACGTAATCACCAACTTGTTTAAGGTACACCGGAGGCCTTCCTAGGGTGGGGCCCTGGGTGGTGGGCTGGCCACACAGTGGTCTCAGCTTGCCCTGATAGGACAGGACCTTGTGCCACACAGGCTGGGGTTGGAAGTACACCCCGGTTGCACAGCTTGATTTGCACACTAGCAGGCATGGAGCTACCTCACCACTTGGGTTAACACCCTGGAGGTCACAGTATCCCATGAAAATCACCCCCCCAAGACTTCAGTGAACATCTTCTAGGCAATTCACACCAGTCACACTTTTAGGACACTAGCAACACCAATAATCATGACCTCCCAATGGAAATGGGCATGGGCAGTGGGTCCCAGTTGTGTTGTATAGTTTTCAAATGGGGAGGACAAAATCCAGGCAGAGGCTGGGCTGCTGCAGCCACCTCTCCTGAGATGGGCAGGACATTGTGGCTGAATCCCCTCTGCACCCTTCGTGCAATGGCCTTGGATTGCTACATGACGAGGAGACTAGAAGCTGAGGCTCAGCCCCTACTTGCAGGAGGACTGCCACCAGAAGATCGATGAACTCTTCTCCGGGAAGCTGTACCTCATCGGCATTGCAGCCATCGTGGTCGCTGTAATCATGGTGAGCAGGGGCGGGGCAGGCGGGGCCTCTGCTCTGTGGGCTGCCGATCCCACGGCCTGGGTGCTGACTGTGCCCCACTCACCACCTTCCCACAGATCTTTGAGATGATCCTGAGCATGGTGCTGTGCTGTGGCATCCGGAACAGCTCCGTGTACTGAGGCCCCTGTAACTGTAGTCGCAGGGACCCCTGAAGTGCCCCCTGAGAGACCCAGACACTTCTGAGGGGCCATCACCACCTGTGTACATACGTTTCTGGTATTACTCTGCTACACTTAGCCTTTTTACTTTTGAGGTTATGTTTTTGTTCTGAACTTTTGGGGCTGACGTCACATGTAGGTGGCGAGTGTATGAGTGGAGACAGCCAGGGCCCTGGGGACTGCAGGGCAGAAGTCCTGCTTCTAGGACCCTTTGGGGAGCTCTGCCTGCTCAGCCAGGCCTCTCCCAGGGCCACTTGCCCAGAAGCTCAGCTTGGCTGAGCTCAGGGCTGTGTCCACCTGCCCTGCCCATCTGTCCTACGGGCTGCACGGCTCATGCCTTTATATTCCTTGTTCTTTCCTGCCCCAGTTCAAGAGCCGGGTCTCTGAGCACTCTTATGCCTTCGACACACCTATCCTTTCTAACATGTGACCTTCAACTGTAATTACAACATCTTGAACAGTCATTTAATAAAGAAGGAAAAAATCAGGCATGCTAATAGGATTGTCTAGCCCCATCCTGTGATGGCACCTGAGACCTAGGAGGCAGTCGGCAATTACAACTGGTGTGGGTGTGGTTGGGACCCCCTGGGGAGCACCCTACGTGGTTCATGCCTTTTGGGGGGGCCCTGTGTTGCATGCAGCAGCTTCCACCTCAATTCCCACTTGAACTGCCTGTAGGGGAGCAGGAGGGCCAGGCAACCCAAGGATACAGGATAGGATGAGCCTGTAGTACAGCACAGGGGAAGTTGCAAGAATCCCCTTCTTCCTGGTGCACATCACAGTGACATGGACAATACCCCTCCTGAGCACTTTAGGGTCCCCTCCCTGCCTGTCCAGGTGCCTATAAACATGCCAGTGAAAAGCTAGGTGGCTCAGGGCCTCAGCTGCACCTCAGAGGGTCGGAGGGGCAGATCTTAGTCACCTGGGGAGCCCACCAGCCCACAGAAGCAGGCGGAGGCTCTGAGCCTAAGCAGCCTTCTGTACTTCCCACTTCCCTGAGCACTTGAAAGTCTCTGGGCTCTGGAGCCTCCTGTCTGCTGCCCTTGGGGTGGGGCTTGTTCTGATTCAACTGCTTCCCCTAGTAGGTGGGTGTTGGCACATTCTGTGACCCCTGGATTCAAGTCAAAGACTCCCAGTAGCATCCTACAGGTAGTTTGAAACCAACTCCAGCTGTGCACTGGGAGACTATCAAGTCTCTGTAGGTCCTCTCCTTTCATGGTTGGAGAACAGGGTGGTTCAAGGAGTCCCCTCCTCTCTACTTCCATCTGTGCTTTAAGCTCATAGGGACACCTTGGCCAAGGCTGTTGCTTAGTCTTCCACATGGCTTGAAAGTTGCAATGAGAGGTTATACAGGGGTCCTCAAACTTTTTACATGGGGCCAGACCATGGGCGGGCCGGACTGCAGGCCCTGGGACGAGTCTGTTGCTACACAGGACAGACAGCGGTGGCAAAATCACCCGGCGGCTGGATAAATGTCCTAGGCGTCCGCATGTGGCGGGTGGACTGTAGTTTGAGGATGCCTGTTACAGAGTAACCACTTAGGGACCATTAGACCTTTACACTGGGGAGAGAGGAGCAACCTTAGGACTACGCTATCCCAACAGTGCACAACTGAGCATGGGCCCTCTTTTTTCCCCTCTTCATATCTTTAGGCTGGGCCACAACCAGTCCTTGAATCCTAGTTTCCCAGTGGAAAACAGGACAGCAGGCTCTGAGGAGTGGAGAGTTTTCTCTCTGGCCCTTCAGAGTGAGGGTAGGAGGTTGGTCTAGTTGCCAAGGGAACTCAAGTGCCTTGAGTTTAGGGGGCATGAAGCACCCCACTGCAAAGGGAAAAAGTGCTGCCCACTTAGGCCCTGGTGGCCAAGAGAGAACCTGGGACCATGTCTCCCTTTCAGGGTGGCAAGTTGGCCTGCCACATACACTGGACATGGAAGGCCAAGCTGCCAGCTCCCGAGTTTGGCTGCCTACCTCTGTAGGCCAAGACCAGACCTCACAACAGCTGCCCACCCAGCCCTACCGGTGGCCTTTCCAACCTTCTTGGCACTCCCCATGCTGTCTAGGGTCAGGGTCCTGGGTGAACTCGCGACCTGGAAAGTGTCAGGGCAGAGCCTGGCCCTGGCTCCCCTGCAATAACCTCAGGGAACATCACCAGTACCGGCTGAAACCCAGAACAATGTCCCCGAGAGAGGGATTGGCCAGAACAGTGTTCCCAAGGGCAACGATCCGCGCAAAAAAAAAAAAAAAGGGGGCAGCCGGGCCAAGTAAGTTCCTCGGAAGAAGCGTCGGCCCGGCGAACGGACAAGCGGGCTGCTTCATGCGGCCCGCGTCCTCGCCTCGGACTGGGGCTGGCTCGGCCTCTGGCCTCAGTGAAACTGAAGAGTCTGGGGCTAGTGCAGAGCAGAACTACCGACTCCAACGGACTGGGGCCGCGCACTAAGGAAGTCTCCAGCCATCCTGCTTCCGGGAACTAACAGAACACAGAAGCAGCGTCAGCAGCCGCTTCCGTCCAGAACCAGAAGTGCCCTGGAACGGCCTCGCTTGCTCTATGCGCAATGACGCACTTCCTGCCTGTGGCGGCCGCAGTCTCCGCGGGCTCCGGCAGGCGGCGCTGGAGCCGCAGGAAGCCCGCGCTGCTGGTCGTTGGCCCCAGAGCACACTGGGAGCCGCAGCCCGCCCCGCCCCTTCCTGGCTGGAGGGGGCTTCTCCCCTTGAACTTCGCGGCTTCCGGGGTGGGCTGAGCGCGCGTACCGCGTTGGGGTGTGGGTAATTCCTCGCGCTCAGTAGCAGTCGCTGTCCCGGAGGGCCGCGCCGGCGTTTGGACAGGCGGAGGCGGCAGGTGTGTGGGGGGCGGGAGGCGCCTAGGGCCCCCGGAGGTCTGCTGCACGGTCCTGGTGCCCGTCGCGGCCCGGAGCTCCGCTGGCTTTGGCTGGAGGGAGGCTCGGCCTGGCTACCCAGCGCAAACGGAAGGCCCGGGACGTGGAGGCGCCTGCAACTCACTCCCGGTGCGACCCTAGGTGCTGTTTGGCGGGCTCCGGCTGCGCCTGTGATAATAGCGTGACTTGGGCAGTTACTTCCCCAACCCTGACCGTTCTGGATGTGACGCTGGGGCGTGCTGGGCGTTTCCTTTCTCTCCCCGTGCGGTCCCTTCGGTGAGGAGGGTAGCGCCCGGCGGGAGTTGAGGTCTTGCGGTGTTCCACTTGGTGGACGGCGCCGTGTCGCATCCTTGGTCATGGTCACCTAGGCAGGGAAGGCTGGTGGGGGAGTGGGCGGAGGCTGGCTGGTGCCGAGGCAAACAAGCGCCAGGGCGCCGGGTCTCCCCACACGGCTGGAAAGGGCTGTAGTAGTAGGTGCTGCAGAAAAAGGGCCACCACATTTGTCCCAGGAGCTGTGGCGCTTGCCTCTACACAGCAGGGCTGCTCCAGGTGCTCGTGTACCTCCGCTTTCCTGAGAGCTGGACCTTCAGGTGCCAAGGACAGGGCTGCAGGCCTGTCTGGAGTTCCCAGGGATCTCCCACCAGACGGGGGACTCTCTCCTCCCCATGGACCAGGACGGGCCGGTCTTGGTGGAGCACTCCCTACACCACTCAGTAAGTGGCTTGTAAATGACGGGTGAAATAGCGCAGAGACTGTTCTTGGGCCAGGGTTCAAGCCTAGGCTAGGCACTTAGTGGCTCCAAGTTTATCTGGGGAGCTTTGTCGTGATTAAATGACATAGCAAGTGAGAAGTTCCTGCTGTTGTTCCTAACCTGTTGGGTCCCTTGGGTCCTGTTGCCGCATTTGTGAACTCCCACTTTGGTCTGATGGTTGGTTCCTCCCACGCCCTCTCAGCTGCAGCCTAGCAGAGCCCTGCCCCGAGGGCTCCTGGGACTGAGTCAATCCTACCTTCACCGCTGAGAACCTTCATCAGGGCTCTGCCCAGCCCGCTGTCCACCAGCCCTCTGGTGCCCACCACAGGCACCTGCCCAGCAGACAGGAGGTGAGAGGAAGGCTTTTGGAGTGTGGAGGCGGGGCTGGCTCTCTGTGGGACAGGGCTGACCACCTGCTCCTGCTCAGGAACTTATTCTAAATGCTGCTCTCGCTTTAAAAACAAACTTGTTTTGGTCTAGGTGTGGTGTGGTGCTGAGGATACATGGCTGAAGCTGGGACTGAAGAGCCATCCTCTGGCTTGGAGGGCAAGGGAGAGACAGAGTGTGACACCCTGCTTTCCGACACAGTCTCCCTCAGTGACTCGGACTCTGACCTCAGCCTGCCCGGTGGTGCCGAGGTGGAGGTTCTGTCCCCAGAGGGACTTTCTGGGGAGGCCCAGGAGGACTCAGACCCCAGTGAGTCCCCATCACCCCCCAGGGGCCTCCACAGGGCCACAGCGCAGCCCTTCTACCTGAGAGGCACAAGCTCCACCTTCTCACAGCGCAGCCATGACATCTTTGACTGCCTGGAGGGGGCAGCCAGGCGGGTGCCACCCTCTGTGGCCCACACCAGCCTGAGTGATAGTGGGAGCTTCAGGCAGCCCCTGGCAACCTCAAGCCATCCATCAGTGGGAGACCTGGGTGGGGCCCAACGGAGGTTTGCTCCCTTGAGAGTGTCCCGTGTCCCCGACTATGTGGCCCACCCTGAGCGCTGGACCAAGTACAGCCTGGGAGACGTGGCTGAGACCAGTGAGCAGAGCAATCAGGCTGCTGCCCTGGAGTTCCTGGGGTCCCGGCACCAGGCTGTCTCTGCTCACTACGTACCCTCCTTCAACCAGGATCCCTCCAGCTCTGGGGAAGGGAGAGTTGTCTTCACCAAACCAGCCCGAGGTGGTGAGGCCAGACCCGAGAGAAAGAGGGTCCTGAGAAAGGGGGCAGAGCCAGGCAGGGGCACTTCTGGAAATGCTAGCCCTGCCAGCGGAGAGGGCCCTGTGGAGCTGGCCCATTTGGCTGGGCCTGGGAGCCCTGAGGCCGAGGAGTGGAGCAGCCCCCTTGGGGGCCTGCAGGAGGTGGTGTCACCTGCCGGTGCGGTGGACAGTGAGTCAGTGCCCACCCTGCCACTGGTGGAGACTGTTGGCTTCCATGGCAGCAAGAAGCGGAGTAGAAACCACTTCCGGAGCAAGGGCAGCACCTCTGAGGGCCCAGGCACTGAGATCTGAGCCCCTGCTATGGTCCTGCCCTCCCAGCTAGGCTGCCTGCAGGGCTAGGATCAGAGGGACAGCTGGAGCTACTGCCCAGCTGGAGTGGACAGGTCCATAGCCTTAGGGAGGAAGCCAGGGGTGGCCTCCATCTTCAGTGGAGCAAAGACTTGGCTAAGACTCAGGGAGGTGCGGGGACACTGAGACCCTGTCTCCCTTGGTGTCTGGGCAGGAGGTACAATAAAGGTTTTAGCGCTTCCTCAAATTATGTGTGTGTTGGCTCTGCCTCTTGCAGCTGGGGTCTTGTTTTTCCCCCTGTTTCTTGTCAGTTACCCTATTCCTATACCTGATCCAGTGACCCAGGGCTGGGTTGCTTTGTGGATGTTAGCTGCCCCCTCTGTTCATGCCCCACAGATTACCCAGAAGGACCCATGTGACAGAGCAAGAGATAAAGGAGCTCACCACCCCAGCTACCCAGACCTTCCTCTTGTGGACCACAGTGTGGGGTTGAGCAGGTGGCCAGGAAAAGGTCTGGTAGGAATTCCCTGACCCTTCCCTGGCTGTCTACTAATGCTCAGTGACCCATATACTTTAGCCACCCCAGGGGTAGTTTGGTCTGGGCCAGGGTTGCAGTGTTATACAGGCTCCATGGGAGAGGTGGCCCCTGTGACAGCCCAGGGTGGCACCAGCACTTGTACCAGCTGCAGGACAGAGGGGCTGGGAGTGGCCAGACAAGCAGCTGATGCTTTCTGGGATTGGTCAACTGCCCGCCAAAAGACTGGGATGGGGTCTTAAAGGGCAAGAATTCTAGCCACTAGCATTTCAAAAAAGCATTTGTTTCTTACGGGGTAACAAATACAAATAGGGTGGGGGTGGACCCACAAGCAGCTGCCCAGTCTAGGCGGGAGGTTCCTGTGTCAGGCTGCAGCCTCTTTTCAGGCCCAGGGGTACATGTTTGCTGATGGCTGGGAGGCTGTGCCAAGATAACTGCTTTGCCTCCTGGGTCCCCCCAGGGAGGTGTCAGGTGGGACAATGAGGTTTCTTGTGGAGATGTCCAGAAAGGGCTGGTCTGTGTGTGATAAGGCTGTGGGGGCCACTGCCCACTGGAGGTGAGCAAAGGTCCAGGGTGACCAGCTGAGAAGTAGGGCTGAGCAGCTTAGGAATCTGAAGGCAGCCAGCCAGCCTGGGAGTGCTCCCTGCCACCAGGGCCTCCTCTGTGGTCAGCAGTTCCCTGCTGGCTCCCACCAGCACAGTTCTGTGAGCCTATTGGGAATGAAGGCCCCTCCTCAGCTCTTGGGGGCCCAGCCAGGGTGGGCCCAGAGGTGGGGCCCTCAAGAGTGGGGAAGGCTGGGTGACCCAGGGCAAACCTGGCTTTGTGGGTCCTTGGGGCTGGTAGTGTGCCTTGATGGGGTCAGGGGCCCTGCCTGCTGAGGGGGAACACCCAGCACAGCTGTACCAGGCCAGGCACTGCCCCTGGAGGCTGAGTGAACCAGCTCTATGCGCCAGGGAGAGGTAGAATTCCATCAGAGGGCACCTGCACTGCCCCCAGTGATGGCCAACAGGGACCTCCAGGCCCAGGGGAAGGGCAGGGTGGCAGGGCACATAGCATGGCCAACTGGCTGTGGGGTATTGCCCAGGCCCACCCATACCCCTACACTCCCCAGACCGGCTTACTCCAAGGGACGCCGCCCTGGGCCAGTGTATCAGCCACGGAGGACAGGAGCACTGTGCAATAGTTGATCTGGAAGAGGTTGAAGGGTTCAGGGAAACCAAGGCAAGCCCCGGACTCCCAGGACAGCAGAGGATGGGTACCCTCCACGTGCCCCCACCCCTGCCAAGACCTGCTGCACCATGACCCCTCCCTCTACTGTGCAGGGTGGACAGTGAGGGGTGACTGTGATCTCATGTGACTTGCTTGGGGTAGGGATAGGCCCAAGTCCCACTGGACCCCCTACCAGGGTTTGTGCACAGGGGTGCCCATTCCCATCCAGCCTTTGTCTGAGTTTGGAGCTGTAGGCAGGCCCCACGGGCACCTGCTGCCTGCAGGAAGGGGAGCAGAGCAAGCGTCCTTGCCACTTGCCTGCAATTCCAGACTCTTGATCCGCTTTTCTTGCTCTCTCAGCCCCCCGAGATACTTGGCAACAAAGTCCACTCTGGCAAAATCAGAAGTGCAGTCTGCTGATGGTCTCCCCATCCTCTGGCACCCCATGTCCCCAGTGCCCAATCTGGTGGCACCCAGGACTTCTCAGGGTACAGCCTTGTCTACAGTACTGAGTGCTTCTGTGCCCTCCCTGCCCACATTACACCAGGATAGGGTGAAGCGAGGGTGGGGGCCAGAGAGAAAGGAGGGGGCCAGTCTCCCTCCTGAGACCTACAGCAGGAAGGACACCAGGTTTAGAGGCCCACAGTCCCTAACCATAGGGCAGGCAAGTCCCCAGTTGAGCCCTGCCCCTCTCGGCCTGTTTCCAAGCTCAGGGCCTCTGTGACTGGCACCTGAGAACACCCCTTCAATTATGTTAGAGGTTCCCTCCAACCCCCGTGGGTCACCCACCACCACCACCTTCACAGCACTTGACCAAAGCTAGCGCTGGTGCCAAGGCTAAGGCTCAGGGCCACCAGTGGCCAGGAGTGCACCTGGGTCCCTTTGCCTCCAGGGAAAGGACCCCGTCTGCATTGCGGGGCAGCCCTGTGGGCAGAGGCGCATGGGCGTGTCACCGGCCACACCCCGCACCTGTGTGCTGTTTTCCGCAGCACCTCCCCCTCGCTGTCCCGCCGCCTCTTCTCCACCTTGCTCAGGAAATTTTCCTTCTGAACCATCTCCCAGGTGACAATCCTCTGGTCCAGGGGGTCTGGCAGGTCTCGCTCTGGGAAGGCCAGTGCAGGAGCAAGCTTTGCTGGTGCCACGTGGGCCAAGGTGGCTGAGCCAGGCCTGGCCTCAGGTCAGGGTGTGAGATAGCCAGGGAAGGACAGGTCCCATGCAGGGATGTGCAGGCCACAGGGAGCCTCTTGGGCCCTCTGGGCCTGGGCCCTGGGGCTTTGGTCAGCCTGGATGGAGCCCAACCAAGGGTAGCAGGGCCCAGGAAGAGCCCGGGCTTCTGTGACCTGCCCACCTCTCTGAGATGGCCGCAGCCAACTGCCCTCCTCACCCAGGTGCTCCCGCTTGTGCCGCGCCTTCCTGAGGGCCCCACGAAGCAGCAAGCTCAGGTGGCTGAGCAAGATGAAGGGCGGGGCCAGCGCAGGCCGCTCATGATACTCCACAATCAGGTGGTAGCGCTGGAACTTCCAGAACATGTCCGCATTGCCCTGCACCACCTGGAATGTGTAGCTGGGGACAGCAGCCAAGGCCCTCACTTACCTGCCTCCCCTACCACCTGAGTGGCAGAGGGACCCTCAGAAACTGGGCCCAGCACCCCCTTCTGTGATTGCCTCTGGATGTGTCCCAGGGTCCACTGTGGGGTCTTCTGCCTGCTCCCTGCCCACCCACCCCCCCCCCGACTCTGCTGGACAAGCCTGGGGCTCCTGACGCACCACCCAGCCCCCACCCTCCAAGGCCCCAGCCCCACTTTCTGGGAGCAGGGTGGGCCTCTCTCATCTGCTACCAGGACCAGGCCAGGGGCCATGGCTGGGCAAAAAGGTGTGAGTGTTTGGGATGTCCTTGCGTGTCAGGCCTCTCTACTTGCAGGCGGAGGGACAAGGGACACCTGAACATGGCAATGAGCAGGTTCATGAGCAGCACGTTGGTGACCAGCAGGAAGGTGACCAGCAGGAGGATGACCAGCCAGTTGGCGTAGAGGTTGGGGCAGGAGGGCGAGTGCTCCAGCAACAGGGGGTGTGTGGAGCAGTTCACACGGGCCTCTAAAAAGTAAGGGGGGGCGCCGGTGGGGCCAGGCCAGGGCAGCCTCAGGCAATGGCCTGAGATCCGAAAGCTTGGTCCTGGGGTCTAGACCAACCAGGTGAAAGGGCCTTAATGGAGTGACCCGCTGTCCTCTGTTACCTGGGATCATCTGAGTTTTAGCCCTGAAAGCCCTGTCAAGGGAAGTGCCACACCAAGGAAACCAGATGGTGGTCACAGCACAGGGCCACCTCACCCCCCCTGCTGGGCTTTGACCAGGGCCTGGGGTCAAAGCCAAGACCATTTGGGGGATGGAAAGTGGGGGTAGGAGGACTCATGGGACAGTTGCTACCGGTTTCTCCACCCCCCAACAAAAGGCTCTGTCTTCAAGCATATTTGGGGAGAGCTGGTGAAGGGACACTGGTATCCTTGCTACAGGGCTTCTCAGAGCCTTTACAGCACTAATGCCTGTCACAGCTCCAAGCTGGAGAGTGAGTCTAACAACTCCCCAAGGCAACTTTCCAGAACCGAGAGACTGTAGGGTCACAGAGCCTGCCCTGAGCCTGGCCAGTCTTAAGAACATTCTCCAGACAGTGCTGAACTCCCTCAGGATACCCTGGGGGCTGGCTCTAGCATCCCTGAGTGGCCTGCTGGTCACCACTCCAGCCTCTTAGGGCAGGTGGCAATTGGGATCAGTGTGCAGATCCTGGTGGCCTGGGTGCTAGGGCATCTCAGCCAGAGGCCAAAGAGCCCCTCCAGTCACTCTGGTTCTCTGCTTCATCTGAAAGGGCACCCGCTCACCTGCCCTCATCAGGCCACGTGCCAGCCTGTGTGCAGGTGTCTGTGTGTGAGTGCCCATGTCCCTGTGTGGGCTGCAGGTAGCACCGTAGTGCTCGTGTGAGTGTGTCTTTGTGCCTGTCCCTCCGCTCTGTCTCTCGGGGTCCACCTGTGTGTACCCAGGTCTGGCCTCTGCTTTATGTGCATCAGCGTCAGCGTCAGGGCCTATTTCCTCAAGTTTTGCTGCTTCTCCCAAGTACAGCTGCGCTGGTCCACATGTGAGTTATGAGTGGGGGTGGGGGGGTACTGGCCACAGCATACCAGACCTTGTCCTGCTGCCTCCTCCCCACACCAGAAGAGGTGGGCCCAGCTGGCCTGGGGGGCTATAAATCTGATAGACTTGACCCCACACTAAGAAGACCTCTGAGCCCTCCTCCACTCTGGGATTTCTGAAGGTGCCACCAGGTTGGGATGGAAATTAAATGTCCCGGGTCGTAGAGCCCAGGAGAACAAGGTCCCTTCACAGCCAGCTGACCCAGGCTGCAGCCTGTCATGGTGCAAAGTGGGAGGGCAGGGGATGCCCTGGGGGAGGACCTGCAGGCGATAGGGGAGCCACCAGAGCCTCAGTTTTCTTCCTAGCCTAGGTTGGTGACCAGTTCTTCGCCCGGCACTATAATGGACTCAGCAGGGCCCAGAGAAGGGAGGTGATGTGGACAAGAACTGTAGGATTCGCCTGCCGCAGCTCTGGGCCTTCAGGTAGGTGGCAGGAGAAGAAGGTTATAACCAGGCCTGTCCCCTTATGGCTGGATCTGGCCAGGGCAGTGACACAGCCCTAGGGACAGGGCCCAAGACCTGCCCAGGCCAGAGGCCCCAGGAGCTCGGGCAGTGCAGGCTGAGGAGGAAGGTAGAGAGCACAGGACCAGGAAAACTGATGTGCAAAAGGCCAAGATCACAGGGGATGGGGGTTGCTACAAAAATAGCCCAAAGAAGGGGGGAATGGCCCAATTAAGAGGTGATTCCCTGATGGCAGTGTTCTCCCCCCAGCCTGTCTCTGGCCCTCCAGGAGCCCATGTTTGCTTTCAGCTTTGAGTTAGCCCCTTAGCAAGTGTACATCACAGGGAGAGTGCTGCCCTGGAGGAGGGGCAGTCGGGCCTTGCAGCCCACTCCCCGGGGGCTGCCCTTTCTAGGTTATGCTGGGTCCTAGCCACCTAGGGCTGCCCAGGCCATGTTACCACTGAGACCCCCATGGCCAAGTGGCTTTGCCCCCCAAACATGTTCATCATGAAAAGTTCCTGGAGCCCCCACTAGACCCCACCAGGTGCAGCCAGCTGGGGATACTCATGGCCAGACAGGCCCCACACACCCAAGAGCACAGGCAGTGCACACACAGGGGGAGGGGCCCCAGAGGAAGCAAGGGGGCCTTCTGGAGGGGCCTCAGTGGGTGGGTAACAGGGACCCTGGCTATGCAGGGCCCTACAGGAGGGACCTAGACACCAGGCAATGGTCACCCCAGAACATCCCTGCTCTCTGCCCATAATGCCTGCCCAGCCCCTGCTGCCTCACAAGGTCTCCCGTGTCCCAGGTCCTAAGCTTGAAGGCTCTGTGTCTGGAGCTGACCCTGTCCCTGGGTCTGGACTCAGGAACTTCTCCTGTCTCAGCTCCAGGCTGGGGTCTCCTGTGACCCTGACAAGCCTCCCTAGAGAGCCACATATTCATGGGCTTGGAAAACTGTATTGGCTTTGGTCATGCCTAGGATTCCCGCACCCCACACCACCTGGCTGGATACAAACCGTCAATCTCATCCAGTGGTATCTGCCCGAAGATCTGCAGGTAGGGCCGGTAGAGCACACGGCGGAAGACCCACTCGAGGCGGCTGTCGTGGGGGTGCAGCAGCGCCTGGGTGGTCACGCCATAGGCCACCAGCCATACACTCAGGAAGAAGAGGAAGAAGAAGACGTCCTTCATCTCCATGGGGCAGGGCAGGGAGACAGCCATTAGCAGATGGGCTTAACACCCACTGGGGGGACAATGAGTGGGGCTCACCTTCTACTGGGGGACAGTGATTTGGGCTTACCCCCACTGTGGGGGACAGTGAGCAGGGCTCATCCCCCCAGGGAGGACGGTCAGTGGGGCTCAGCCCCCTAGGGAGAAAGGGGGGTGGTGGGCTCACCATGCGCTCCACGATAATGATCTTGGGGCCCAGCTGCTTGTGTATGGCGAAGATGTGGATAAGCCGGAGTGTGAACACCATGAAGTCTATGGCCAGGACTGAGCGGCCAGCCTCAAACACCGAGGGCAGCATCCTGGGGGGGTAGCAGGTTGGAAAGGGCTGCTGGAGCCCGGAGAGGGGAAGAGGACTCCCCTTGGACAAGCAACACACTGGCCAAATGGCAGATGCCAGGGCCGAGCCAAGAACTCTTGAGTGGCCTCATCGGGATCCCTGCCTACAAGCCTGCCTGAGGACAGGGCCTCTGCACCCCACAGACCTGCAGGTGACACCAATGATGAACAGGAAGATGGCCACCATGTCACACTTATTCCAGTTGTCCTCCATGTACAATGTGAACTTCTTCAGCAGGTGTGTGTCCTCGTCCGTGAAGAAGCCCTATCAAAGAGGCAAAGAGTCTGCTGCCAGCCACCTGGGCCCACCTCACTGGAGACAGCCATGACAGACCCAGGCACCTGTAAGGATCAGGGCTCAGTCTGTCAGGGGATCTAATCAGGGTTCCCTCTATAATCAGGGTAAGTCTATAAGTAGGACTGGGGGTCAATAGAAGATGTTCCATAGCTGTGTCTGGGGACAAAAGCTACAGTCAATGCTCTCTGTGACCAGGGTCCAGGATTATTTATATTCAGTCTCTGGACTTGATCTATGACGTGGGTCAGGGTTCAGACACTGATTAGAGAGACAATGGTTATGCTATCTGGAGTGGGATCAGGGCTCAGTCTGCAGTGGAGCTGGGATCAGGGACCAGTCTGGAGTGGAGCTGAGAATCAGGGCTCAGTCTGGCATGGAGCTAGGATGAGGGCTCAGTCTTGAGTGAGGATGGAATCAGGGCTCAGTCTGGAGTGGAACTGGGATAAGAGCTTAGTCTGGAATGGGGACCAGAACTCAGTCTAGAATAGAGCTATGATCAGGGCCTAGTCTAGGGGGAGCTGGGATCAAGGCTCAGTATGATGTGGAGCTAGGATCAGAGCTCAGTCTGTGACCAGGATCAAGGCTCTGGTGATGCTGTTCTCATTCTGAAGATGAGGAGCCATTGCCCTGCCAGGGCAGGACCTACCGAGCCTTATAGCCTGGAGCTACAGAGTGGTGGGAACCCGGTTGGCCACTGACCTGCCGAATCTCCTCCAGCACGAGTGTGAAGACCCAGAAGTAGAGTATGACCTCAGGCCCTGATGGCCCCTGGGGCGGTGGCCTGAAGTCCACCAGCAGGACATAGGTGAACAGGAAGAGGAAGGCAAAGTACATGACCACGTTCCCCAGAAACACTGTCACAGGAGCACCCCAAAACTTCTGCCAGCGTGTGAGTAGGAAGGCCGTGTGCAGGCCTCGGTCACCCTGAGCCTTTGGTGCCTCCACCATCTCATCCACCCTGTGTCATAAAGGAGGCCACAGTGGTGAGGCCAGACCCCAGCAGACATCCCACCAGGGTCTGGCCTCCCAGCCACCACTCACTGGCTGCCATCCTGCCTGGCCCCTTTGGCCCTCACCGGCTGCCTGGGCCACATAGTAGGCTCCTCTCCGTGCCCAGGCTGTCCAGCTCCTCCAGGTCCTCTGGGCCGGTCCTCAGAGGGGCCTCCTCACTGTGAGCACATGGGATGCTCAGGGCCCTCAGGAAGGCACCCAACGGTACCCACTTTGTCCCAAGCACTGAGAAGGGTGGAGGCCAAAGTGCCCAGCTGCATGTACTGGCTGTGGATAGCAGGGCCTACAGGGATTTTGGACTCAGGGGAACCCAGAGACATGTGGCCAACAGCACCCAACACCTTCTCCATGGCTCTCGCAGGCCTGACTTACCTGAAGGTGATGAGGTTGGTGTAGATGAGGGGGGGGCAAAAGAAGGCACCCAGCAGCCGCAGGATGGGTGTGCCCCTGGCCATGTCACCCCACCAGATCTTGGTCAGGAAGGCCTGAAACAGAGGCATGCCCACCGGCCTCCAACTTCCACCCCAGGAGTGCCCATCCCCACACCTGGCACATGCCAGCTGCTCCTGGAGGTGAGCTGAAGATGCCCCTATCAACCCTCCCCTGCAGCCCTCCCTGCTGTCATGAAAGTCAGCATGAAGGAGCCAGGCACAGAAAGATGGGATTCGCTGTGAAGTGAACCCTCACTGGGGGCAGGAAGGGCTGTGCAGGGCAAGCATGCCCAGTTGAAGAGCCTCCCTCCCTCTACAACATAGGCATGTGGGAGCCAGAGGCTGCAGGCTGGGTGGTCAGCATGCCTGGGTCCTGCTTGCCCTCGCATTTAGCCCCTGTCACCCCTCCTCGAGGATTCAACTCTGAACCAGGGTGATCATGGTCTTGCTCAGCCGGTCACTCACCTGCACACCATCGTGGGCAAAGAAGGCCTTGGTGTCAGCCTCAGTGGCCAGGTGCAGACAGGTGGTCCTGCTCCAGCAGCGGTTCCGGCGCACCAGCAGGGCGAAGGCACGGTCCTCATTGTTGCTGTAGCACTCAGAGAAGAGGTCTGCCCAGAGGGGCCCTGGCTGCTGGGGTGGGTCACATGCCACACCTGCCCCCAGCCTCCCCCGTCTGCTTGGAGCCTGTGTCCACTTCCCAAGGGGCAAGCCTGGTCTTCTGCACTGCAGGCTGCTGACAGCCCCTGCCCAGCCTGCTCTGGGCCTCCCTCACTGCTAAGACCTGGAGAGGTTCTGTCACCCTGAATGTCCCCAGCAGCAGGGCCTGGCACATGTCCAGAGGCCTGAGGGTATCTTCTTCACCCTGGGCCCAGTTGTCTCTCCTGCTTAGGATTTGAGGGCCCTCTACTCAGAAGGGGCCATCCCTCTAGTCCCATTCTACAAAGGGACCACTGAGGTTTCACTGGGCCATGTGGCATGCATCACCTCTTCCCCCAGCTGGCCACTTGGCATACTCACCGAGGGCCAGCTGCTCGTACTTGGCTTCACGCATGGCCTGGGCCACTGCAGCCTCCGGCTCCAGGTGAGACATCTCCTTGAGGATTTTGCAAGCAGCCAGAGCAGCCGCCACACCCTCCTTGCCCTAGGAGACTAGGTCTCAGGAGCTGTACACCTTCCCCCACCCAACTGGGGGTCATGGCCACCACTCACCATGGCCCAGAAGTAGGTGGCCATCTTGTGGTGGTTCTGGAGCACTGCCCACAGGAACAGGTCCCTCCAGGGGTTCTCACTCTTCTGGTTGAGGTCCAGCAGCCACTTCTGGCCTGTGGGCCGTTTAGCTGGCCCCTTCTCCTAGGGGACATGGTTGTCAGCCACCAGCATGGCGCGGCCCTGGCCCCTTGCCCAAACCCTGCTCACCACCTTGCTCTGGCCCCCTTGCCCGCCGTCCTGGTAGAGGCCACGGCAGGCATCCCGCAAGAAGTCCTTGAGCACACGGGAGACCTCGTGTAGGGAGAAGGCGGGTGGCCCGGCGGGAGGCTCCCGGACTGGCTGCGTGCCCAGCCCAGCCAGCGTCCGGCGACCCTCCTCGTGCTTGCGCTGCAGCAGGTCGAAGAGCAGGCTCTTGGGGGACACAGAGCGGTAGAGCTGCTGCAGCCGCCCATAGGTCAGGAAGTCGGCCATGTTGGCCCCATTGTCCACGAAGAGACGCACAAACTCAGGCTTGTTGCTGACCAGGGCATCCATCATCACCTCCTCCAGGTCACAGGACTGGACAGCCATAGGGGGACACAACCCAGGGTGGGGGAGACAGTGACAGTGAGTGGGAGCCACTGGGGAAGGGGTGGCACCAAGGGAGAAGAGCACAAAGGGAGCCTGGGGCTCTCTGCCCAGGGCCAAGCCCCCTGACCCCACTCTGCGCTCCCAGCCTATAATCCTGAGCCATGGCAAGTGCAGGTGGGCCCCAGCAGTCTGCGGGGGTGCCGAGGATAGCCCACAGCACTCCACACTGCCTGGCCACTGAGTGAGGCCAAAGCCCAGCAGTGCTGTGGCTACCTCATGCTCCCACCTTGGGACAGCTGGGCTGGGGCAGGCAGCCAGCAGCCCTTAGAACATCACCTTTGCTGGGCCCTTAGCATGGTCCTGCCCTGTGCTAGCCAGAATCAAGGCTCAGGAGGCAGCTACAGGCCAGCTGGACAGGCAGGGTAGAGGGGGCACCTTCCATTCCACGTCCCCATTGAAGATCTCGCTCTTGGCGACGTCCACGCGGTCCCAGGCCACGGCCAGCTTGAGCTCATCCAGGTAGTCCTGAGCCTCTTGGCTGTGGCTCTTACAGGCTGTGGGCAGAGCAGGCAGGTATGGTGAGGAAGGGCCTCACAGAGCTGTACGCAACGCTCTGAAGGTAAGATGCATGGACACCAGAACTTCACATCTTCCCACTGAGATGGGACAGGGCAACCTGTCTGCTTCCATGTGAGGCACCTCATTTGGTGGTGGCAGACGGGACCCAGTAAACAACCAGGCTTGAGGCCCCATCCCATCCTGGTGCAGGGGGTCAGGTTGGTCATGTCTTCTCCACAGGGAGGGTAGCTGGCCACAACATGGTACTGCAGGACCCCTGTCCTCTCCAGACCCTTGAGTGGAGTCTGTAGGCCTTGGACCCTGCGACCTTGGGCATCATGAGATTTTGGTGGGGACCTGCTGACTCAGGGGAAGCCACGAGGGGTTCCTGCACAGGGTGTTACTAACCCAGAAGTGCCCCCAATCCAGAAGGCCCCTCAAGTCTGTCCCCCACTCTCAGCGCCACCCCTGCCACCCCATTCTGGGCCTGGGTCCAGCTGCCAGTAGCCAACCCTTGGCATGTGTTCATCCCCTATAGAAAGCACATCAGATGCTGATCAAGCTCCCCTCAGCTGGGCACAGGAGGACAGACTGTCTGTCCATGCTGTTCAGTGTTACTTGGCCTTAAAAAAAGACGAGGCCCTGACACAGGCCACAACACCAATGAACCTTAAAAACACGATACTCGGTGAAGGAGCTGGATGTCAAAGGCATGTCTATTTGTGATTCCACATAACCAGCATGTCCATAGGGATGGAAAGTGAATGGTGGGTGCCAGGGGCTGGGGACAAGGACCGTGACTGCCAATCGGCCCAGGCTCTCTTTGCAGGATGTCAGAAATATTCTGGGATTAGATATCACAATGGGGGCACCACCTCACAAATACACTAAAACCACTGAATTGAACACATTAAAGGTTTTTAAATTATGGTGAAACAATGGCCCAGCCGCCAAACCCCAAGTGGCTCAGAGTGCAGATTCCACCAGGTGCTGCCACCTGGCTTGGCCCTCACCTTTCACCAGTGCCTTAAGGATGACAGTGTCCAGCTCCTCGGAGCCCTCCTGCTCGAAGTCATACACAGTGAGCAGATGTGGGTGTGCAGCAATGTTCTGCAGCTGGGCACAGAGCCAGGGTCCTGAGGGTCACCCACAGCTGGCCAGGTGCACAGAGTGGGTACAGAGCCAGGACAGCCCCTGAGGAGCAAGTGCCAGCCACAGCCCTGTGCATTCCCTCCACAGCCGGGCTCAGAGCTACCACAGATCAGGGGGGACCCCCACACCACAAAAGCCCAAAGCGAGAGTGAGGGTGGGGGCTTGGCAGCTAGCGTGGGGGGCACAGAGTCTGTACTGGGAGCAGTGCCATCTGGGAGGACAGCCCGGGAGGACAAAGGGAAGGGTCAGGTAGTGCATACCAGCTGGGTCCAGTGCATGACGTCCTCCCAGGAGAAATGCTCACTAGGGAATTTCTCTTTAAACTGCTTTTCGGCCACCTGGGGCACCAGTGGGTGGGGCTGGCTCACTAGGGCAGCGAGCACATCAGCAACACCCCCTGAGCCTGCCAGGATCAGCCATGGGGCAGCCTGCTCCACAGCCTGGGAAATCCTCTGCCGTGGGTGGGGAGGGGACAGTGGTTCCGAGTCAGCCCAGGTGACTTCTGGGTGCATATGTTAGGCAACCCCATCACACCTTCCACAAGGCTTCGGGCAGCTGGGGGCTCCCACCAGGGCCCCACCTTGCTCCCCTGTCCCTACCTCCAGGGTGCTGGGGTCACCATTGACCAGTAGGCACAGGACAGGGATCTCAATGCTGCTGGTGCCTGTGGACAGGGCACCCTGTGAGGTCCGAGCCAGTGGGATGGGAGTGCGGAGGGGCCGGGGCCCTCCTCATGAGGCCACGACCCAGACCTCAGAGCCCCAGTCTGCCACGATTCCCAAGCAGGGGCTCACCAAAGGCCCACTTATTATAAGGCCCTGGGGTACCTGGGGGTCAGGGACACCAATTCCACATCTGCACTGTCTGGTGTGGTAGCCCTGTGGCAAGGGCAGCACACAGCTATTTAGACATAAAGCAACATAAATAAAACAAGACATGCAGCTCCTTGGCTGCACCGTCAGGTGCCGACACCCACCAGGATGCCACTGGCGGTACAGGGGAGGCCTCCCCACCGTCACAGGCCGCTCTGGTGGGCCAGCCACTGCAGATCTCAGGAAATGTGCTGAGCAAACCAAAGAGCTCCAGGGTGTATGTGCGCGCACAGGACTCTCCCTCAAAGAGAAGCTGGACACAAGACCCCCAGGTATGAGGCCCTTGGAACTGCCCTGGTCTTCCTCAGGGGAACAGGAATTGGCAAACCCGGAAAGTCACAGAATCACAGAATCACCCAGAGAAGGAGCCTCTCCATCCAATTGAAAGGCTCGATTTGAGGTTTGGCCAAAACGGAGCACAGGCCGGCAGGGGTCAGCCAAGCAGAGCCAGACATTCCACCTCCATGTTGATGGAGTAGACACGACTTTATGTTTTCATTTTTAAAGAGTGTGCAGTTGGCCTTGCGAAGGAATTACATGTTTTGTTTATAAATAGTTCCTCTTGTTCATAAGTGTTGTAAACAATTATACACTTTGTTTATAAACATTATTTACACATCAGTATTTTCTTAGTAAATTCAGCTTTCAAACGGACCCCTGAGCACTGCAGAGCCCATTTCTTGGGCACGCTGCCCCCTGGTGGCAGTGTACCTCAGGGCCTGTAGAAGGAAAAGGGGCCTCCTGCAACATACAGTTCTCATTTTGCTTTTCAAAGCCCAGAGCCTCTGGCTCCGGGGAGCCCCAGTGAAAACAGGCTGCTCTTCTGCCTGATGGGAATGTTGCACCCTGTCCAGGGCCACTGTGCCCAACTGTGTCCCCTCTCCTGTTCCTGCCTAAACAGCTCTTCTTCCCAGGGCCCCAGGGCCCAAATCAAAAAGCTTAGGCGAGGTGGGTGCCTTCTGCCTAGAAGGTGCTTCCCCACACACCCTGGTGAGCCCTCCCCAGTCCCCACCCATATGACAGGTCCCTTAATCCCCCTGGGTTCTGAGGCAGGGGCAGGTAGCCACTGGCAGCTTCCCCGGGTGGCCAGGGTGGACTCACCCCCGTAGCTTGTTCTCTGCTCCGAGATGTGCTCCTCCAGCCGCAGCCGCAGCCCCATTAGCCCGTCCCCCACCCCGGGAGGGCTGGGCTCCACCAGCACAAAGTGGGAAAGGTTGCTATCCAGGGGACAGAGCGGGCCCTGGCTGCCACCGTCCTCCGCAGGGTACTGGACGGGGGCGTCCTCCTGTGCTCAGGTGGAAAGATGAGGCAGAGCTCTCAGGACCCTCCCTGCCATGCCTGAGGTCCCTGTTTCCCCACTCCTCGGACGCTGCTGGGGCCCAGGGCCTCCTTGTCAGTCAGGGGCAGGCTGGGCGGAGAGACAGCCAGGGCTGCAGGGAGCTCCTCCTCCAGACTCTTCAGGGCCACCTGGGCCTGCACAGCCTGGGACAGACCCCAGGAAGTAGGGGGAGGAGGACCAAGCCAGACCCCCGACCTACAGTTCTCTGAGTGGTGCCACCACCTATAGGCCATGCACTGGGCTCCCCCTGCCCATGTGTCCAGGACTGTCCTCCCAGTGCCTCCCCTGAGACCTTAGTCCTCAGACTCCTGCCCTACCCCATGACATCCCCTGAACCCATGACCATGAGCCCCAAGAGCAGGGGCTACTTTGTCCACAGCCCCTCCTGCCCCCCAGGCCTGTTCTGCCCCAGCAGTCATAGCACTCAGAGCCAGACACTCACCGGGGCATCCTCCAGGAGCCGGCGGTGCAGAACGCGGCCAAGAGAGGCAATGCCAATGGCAACCACGCGGGCCCTGGTTGATGTGCTGGCCAGCGAGTGGTCACGCACAGCCTGCCCAACATGCCAGGCCAGGCCCACGCGGAGGGCGCTAGTTAGGATCCAGGCACCTGTGGGGATAGAATAAGGAACACTTGTGCCAGGCAGCCCCCGGGGCCTGCTTGGCTGACCCGGACCCCTCAGGCCCATCAGTGGCCCATCCGAAGGCATCTCCCAAGGCCACTCAGCAGCTCAAGACTGTCTGGGCCCAAGCCCAGGTCCCCAGGCCTGGTGAAGTGGCACCCTGCCCTGGCCTGAAGGGCACATGCAAGGAACCAGCCCCCAGGCTTCTGCTGCCATCTGCAGGGTAGTGGACAGAGATGTCCACTCTATCCAGCTCTGTCCAGTAGCCCAGCCCACATTGGACCAGAATCCAGGAATGTTTTTTCCAAATTACAAAGCCTTTGGTCTATGTCTGGTTTGGGAATTTTTTTCCTATGCTACAATCATTTCTGTGGTAACAGATTCAGAAACCCCACATCCTCTATTAGGCTTTCTACAGGCACAGCCTTCCTTCAAATGGAGCCCTGAACCTCAGAACTGTCTGGCCAGACTGTTCCCTGAAGAGGGGCAGGGGTGACGGGCCCATGAGTTGGGGGTGGCTCTAAGGGAGGGCCAAGTCTCTGCTCACCGGGTGAACTGGGACCAAATCGTGGTCCTTGGTGGTGTCCCCAAGAAGAGTTGCTTCAGCTACTAGGGACTGGGGCAGGGTGCAACTGGGGTGTAGGCCAGGTACAGGTGAAGTGCGGTGGGATGTGGGCAGTGTCCAGGGCTGATGTGGCAGGGTGTAAGGGTGCAGGGGGTGAGTGCAGAGTGTGGGCAGGGTAGAGAGGTACGTCTAGGGGCCACCAGGGCCATCTCCTACTGTAGCCGAAGGCAGGGCTTCACCTGTGCTTTGAGCTGCCTTCACCAGCCCCTTGCGTAGCACATCCCGCAGCCAGGACTTCATGGCCAAAGGCCGCTCCTCTCCCACCAGGGACACCACTAGGTTGGGGGCTGGCAGGTGCCACTCTGTCAGCAGCAGGTCGAATAGCACGGAGGGGGCCACATCGCTCGGCACCTTCACAAACTGCAGGGCAGGGAGCTGCGGGCTCAGGGTGCAGACATGGGGCTACTGGGTCCGGGGGATGGGGCAGCAGGAGGGGAGAGGCCCCCCTGCCCTGAGCCTTTTTGGAATAGGGCTGGTCCTGCCTTGACCTGTTACGTGGCCCAGGCAGCCCCGACTCCTCCTGCGGACCTTTACTAAGAAGACCTCCCAGACCTCCCAGGTGAACCTGGAAGGTTCCAGTTATTGCAGAGGTGGGAACTGTGGCCAAAGGTACCCCAGCTCTGATTTCTGCCATTTGGGGCTCTGTACATGGACCCTGAGAGCAGAACCCAGAGAGAGTGAGAGTACTCAGCCTCTGGGGATGCAGGGGAACTGGGCAGACTGGGCATCAGGTAGGACCAGGGGCTGCCCCTACCTTGCCTCGCTTCTTCCCAGACCCTCCGAATTCGATCTCTCCCCGGTGCAGGCCTGGCCTCCGTCCACCTGCAGCATCCCTGAGGCTGCTGGGACAGGAGCCCTGGGCATCCTGCATGGCAGCTTCTCTGTGGAGACATAGTGGACCCCTGAGGCAGGAGAGGACAATTGATCCCCACCTCCCTCTGTGCAGCCCCCCATGACTCCCCCTCCCACCCCGGCAATGTCTGCCACACCCTTCCACTACTCACCTCAGCCTAGGCCGGCCACAACTGTCCACTTTTCTCTGAATGCTCTGGTGGGGGGTGTCCTGGAAACTTCAGAAGACTTAGTGGGGGACTCGTGGCCTTCTGGCCAAAAAGTCCACCCACCCCCACGACACCCAGGGTCGGCAGAGCTGGCAGATGAGATGTGAGGCTGGTGCACCCAGCTCAGGTGCAAAGGGCATGGGGAGACAGATGGAGGAGGAGCGGCCCACCCCTCCTTGCCCGAGTGGCCCAGGAGCCCAGAGGGGAGGCCCTGCCAGCTCACACAGCACCAGCAGAGATACCTCCAGGCTCTTCCCACTGAGTTTTTGCTTCAGCAAGTGGAGGGAGAAGAGTCCGCCCAGGTCCCTCACCCCTTGCCTCTCTGGGCTCACACAACCTCTCAGCGCCCTGGAGGTTGGGCATCGCAGCCCTACCCTCTCTGGCAGGGACCCAAGGGCCAGTAGGTTGCAGCCTAGCCCATGTGAAGAGGGATGCAGCCCCTCAAGCCCCAGCGACCCCTGACCCACTCCCCAACACCTCCTGGCTGCCTGGCATGGGCCTTGGCTGAACACAGCTGGGGCCCGGGGCCTGCTTCCCTCTAATCTGTGCCTCTGAAAACTGAGAAGGGAGGGGAGCTCGCTTGGGCAGGATGAAGCCCACAGGCTCCCAGTGACCTGCACCTCCTGGTTCCTCAGAGCTATTTTCCCTATTCTCCTGGTCAGTGTCTTGCCCTACCCTGTCCTTTCACTCCCAGAGCTGTCCCCAGATGCCCTGGGCAGTGCCAGCCACAGATGGGCTCTTCATGAGAGGAGGATGGGCCCTTTGGAAAAGCTGTTTCCTGGAGAAGTCCATACCTGTGCACAGGGAGGGGGCAGGGTGCCTTGGGCAGGACGGGGAGCAGGGGCTGAGCTGAGGCCCTCCCCATTGTGCCTGTGGAGTCAGCACAGTGACTATGTTCCACAAATGATGTATCCAAGTCCTAGCACCTGGCACCTGTGACTGTGACTTCTTCGGAAATAGAGTCTTGCAGAGGTGATTGAGGTGTAAGTTAAGGAGAGGCCTTGCTGAATGGGTGGGCCCTGAGCCATGGCTGCTATCCTTATAAATAGGGGACATTTGGACACAGACACACAGAGGGAAAGCAATGTAAGAACATGGGGAAAAGAGCCACGTGGAGACGGAGGTGCAGTCTGAGTGATGCCACACAGGAGGAAGGGTCCTCCCAACAGCCTTCCAGACCCCTGAGAATAGATTCCTATTGTTTTAGGATGCCCAACATGTGGCCATTCGTTCCTGTAACCCCAGGCCACTCAAGCCTTTGTTGACCCAGCAGGCAGGAAACAAGTGGGTACCAGTGTGAGGTCTGGGCCAGGTCCAGCACAGCTGCCCAGCCTCTGGCAGGAGCCTCCCATGCTCTCTCTACCTGACAGCCTGACAGCTGGTGACAATGCAAATCTCCTTCCCTGCCCCTCCACCTCCATCCCCACCGCCATGGGGAACAGATTTGAATGTGGCCCCAGAGGAGATGACTGGATGTTTTCAGTTTTAAAAACTGGAGTCTAGGGCGGTGCCTGTGGCTCAAAGGAGTAGGGCTCTGGCCCCATATCCTGGAGGTGGCGGGTTCAAACCCAGCCCTGGCCAAAAAACAAACAAACAAACAAACAAAAAAACTAGAGTCTGAGGACCAGCCCTGGCTGGGGCCTCAGGGATGGGGGGTATAAGACACGGCAGTACATTGGTGTCCTCTGGCTGCCAGGACAAAGGACCTCAAACTTGGGAGTTAGGAACAACAGATTCTCTCACAGCTGTGGTGCCCAGAGACCCCAAATCAAAGTGTGGGCAGGGCCGTGCTCCCTCCAAAATCTCTCAGGGAGCACCCCTTTCTTTCTGCTGGCTTCTGGTGGCTCCAGGAGTCTCCTGCCTGTGCTGTCATGTGACTTTCTTCCCATTATGCCAGGGCTGCCCGGTGGGCCATCTTTTCAGATCACCCACAAAGACCCTATTTCCAAAAAAGGTCACATTCTGAGGTTCCCGTAGTCCCTATGGGGACACTACTCAGCACAGCATGTGCAGCAAGGTGGGAGCTGCTTGCCATGCTGGGGCGAGGGGTGTAGGCCTATCAGCTCGTCTCAGGCCAGGCCTCATTCCTGCCAAGGCCCTGTCATACCTGGCCACCCAGTAGGGTCATCACTCAGCACATCTGGCCATATCCCTGCAGCAGGGAATTGCATGGCTGGAAGCATCTTCCTGCCCAGGGTGGAGGGTGGGGGTGAGGGGCCTGAGCCAAGCTGTGACCCTCTGGGGGACACAGAATATCAGGATGGACATCCTGCACTGGACATCACTGACACCTTCACTATCCCACAAGCCTCAGCCTAGAGATGAACCTCTTTCTTATCCCCTCAATCCCCAGTGGGGAAGCCAATGGGGACCTTGCCTTAGGGAGGCCAGTGGGCTCCCTGGCCCCTGAAATTTATCTTCTTCATAAGACCCAGATCCCAGTGAGCATCTTGGCCTGGGGCTCAGAGGGTCCTCCCCTCTGCCACAGCCCCTAGAAGGACCAGCGGGGCCCTGGTCCCCTACGGCCACATTGCCACTTTCCTCGCTGATAAGAGGGGATGGCTGGGCCCCTGGAAGCAGAGTGGCAGTATGGGGCAGTCTGACTCCTTCCTGGAGTCACCCCTCATCTTGTGCCCAGGGTCTGGCCCTGAGGCAGGGGGCAGGTTCCAGGAGCCAGGCAAATGGGCCCCTGGGGGTGATATGCAAACAGACCCAGGATTTGCATAGGCAGGAGCCCAGGTCTTTAAGGCCTCCCCCTTCATGTCTCTAGACGGGAGGGAGAGCTATGGGCAGAGGGGGGCCTACATGACCCCTAGCAGGAATCCCATCCCAGATGTCCCAAGAAGCAGAACTGAGGTAGACACTTGGGCCCTGGGGTAGCAGGGACACCCTCTAGCCAGAGGCCACCATGGAAACAGCCTGAGTTGAACATGGCTCCCCTGGCACAGGAAGGGCCCAGGATGGGGCAGACCTGGCCTCGGGTCCCAGCCCAACTCATCTCCCCAGCTGTGTGACTTTGGGCAGGTCCCTCAGACTTCCTGAGCAGGACTCATTCCTGATATTCAGGAAGATGGGAGCTAACAGGGAGAAGGTGCCAGAGTCCCTGCACGTAGCAGGCATGAAGTCGTACTGTGTCCCTGGTCCCCATGAGGATCCCCCATCTCTCTGAGTTGGGTGCAGAGGACGCAGGTCAGGAAGGAGTAACAGTGGTCACAAAGTAACTCAGCACCACCAGGTTCCCTCCCACAGCCCCACCTGCCTTTCCTGGAGCCTTCTTGCCTAGACCCTCCTTGATCACTGGGCATCCCCTTCTGGAATGCCCCACCTCACCCACAGTCCCAAGAAGGGGGGATTCTCCCCACCAGGTGTCCTGCTCCCTAAGCCCCTCCTGGCTACCTGTCCTTGCTGCCCTGGGGAGGAGGGGCATGTCCTGGGCACTGGCGGTAGCATGGGGGCCCTACCTGTGAGCCTTCTCTCCAGTACCCTGACATTCGGCTGCTGGCCAAGGAACAGGGCAGCTGTCTGTCCTGCACAGGGTGTGCCAGTGATCCCAGCACTTGGGCTCCTCCTCCTGCTCCCCACCGTCAGGACTGGAACCTGGGCAGCCAATGTGAGCCCTGAGAAGGTGGCTGTGAACAAACACAGGCCCCGCCCAAACTTCTGGGCACAAATGGCCCCCTGTAGTCTCTGAGGCACATTCAGTCTGAGGGTGGGGGCTGCCTAGCACCTTGGTGGCTGTTACTATAACACCCTGTGGGCCCTGCCTATAGGGTGGCCTGACACCTGGGGCTAAGTCACTCTCTAACATGTGATTGGACAGAATTCTTGGCCTTGGTTTCCCCAGAGACCCTGAGGATGGGAGCTGCCCTGAGAACACACATCTCACACTAGGGTGCTGGGCCCAGTTGTCATGTGGACAGGTAACCAGAGGGACTATCCTCACGGTGTGTCATCTGTTCTGGAGAGCCACATAGTCATGGTCAGGCAGTCAGCACCTTGGGTGATGTGTGAGGACTGCCCCTGCCTCTGGGGCAGGACAGGGTGCCAGTGGGCATAGCATGCCTTCTGGAGTCCTGCACAGGGCTCCTGTCCCACATGTCTGTCGAGCTCCTTAATCACTCTGGGCCTGTTTTGATCTGTGAAGTGGGGACCCTAATACCCCAGCTTCTGGGATGCTGAGGGAGACACGTGAGAACAGAGCCTCAACCGTGTTTCTGTTGCTCCCTCCCCTAGGAGACCCCAAGGATCCCCTCTGTATAACCCAGAAGGGGCAAGGGATAGTGTCCAGGACCTGCTCTCTGGGACTCTGGCGACCTCTCTTGTCTGGCCCATTGGCCACCAGAGGGCGCCCCTGGACCACAGGCAGAGTTGGTGACCGCGCTGGTAGTAGCCGCAGTGGCGGTTCAGGGCTGTGGGGTGGAAGCTGGTGACTTTGCTCTGGGCAGGAGTAGCCAGCCCCCTGTGAGCTGGGCTGGGCACAGACCCTAGTCCCTAGCATGGCCAGACCCCAGCCTGTGAAGAGAACGGGTGGTCAAGTGCCTCTGTAAACACAGGTGGACAGAGGGTCAGAGCCCCAGGGTGTGGCTCCAGGTACATGGGGCTCCAGGCATGGGACCCCACAAGCCTAAAGGCCTAAAACAATGAGAGCCCAGTTCTGAGATGAAGAGGTTGATCCTGGCTCAGGGTCCAGCTGAGTTCACAACCACCTCACAGTTCAGGGCCAGCTCCATTGGGGCTATGTGGAGAGTGCAGGGTCCTCATAGACCCTCTGAGCCTATAGGGTAGGGGCACAGTCCTTGCTCTCTCTTGGTCC